GTGTAACACACAAAGCCCCTTGTGGTTTCCGAAATGTCTTCAAAGAGGGGAAGTTTTAATTAATAAGCTGTTAGATTTAATAGGGGAAAAGATCCAGGCAACATACAGAGATTTCTTTGTCAGTTTGCCGTGTTTGGCAAAGATGAGCACTGTGGTGGCTCCGCTCATGAGGGTGAGCGAGGGTGAGTCTGACAGACCAGGGAGGCGGGGAAGAAAAAGATTGAAAAAAAAGAGAACACAACTCTTTTTTTGAATGAATGAATGAAGCAGACGGAGGACTTGTTTTTCGGGTTTCTGGTGGTGAAGGTACTGTGGGGTTCTTTGCGCTCTCTCTTTCACTCTTTTTTTCTTTCCTATTCTCTCTACTTTTCTCTGTCCCATGCACACTTTTTCTCCTCTCTTTTCTCTATGTTTTCTCTCCCTCAATCCCACACCCCTGGCACACACCTATGTTGCGTATTCACCTTCCAGGCCAGAGATGTAACTAACATGGCACAGCTCTAGCGCTGCCCTCTTTGGCGCCCGCGTGCCAATATGGGGCTCGGTTGCCGCAAGCTGCAGGAGCACCGTTCTGTTCACGCTAAGGGTAAGGATACACTTTCCTCATAAAGACGGCAACTTGTAGGAATGATAGGCGAGATTTACCGTGGTGAAAGTACAGTGCTGCGTTTATAGCAGGATAGGAATTTAGGGGAGTTTTGTTTTTTAACCTGTAAACCATCTATGTTGGATGCAGCTGTGGGTTGTAAGGACTGTAACATCTGGAGTGTCAAATGCATGAAAAAGATCCAGGAAGCTGTGGCTTTGTGAGCCGTGTATTTTTGGAACAGGCTGTGAGGAGTGGAGCTGCTGCTGGTGAGGTAGTCTTGCATGAATGTGAGGGCCTGTAATTTTGCCTGAACTATGCTGAAAGGTGTTTGTCTGCTCTCTGATCTGAAACTGACACTTTAACCCTTTCCTTGCTCATTTCGATTCACATTTCGTATGAAGTTCCTAAATTATTGTGATGGTAACAATATGGCTGTTTCTTTGTGATATTCTGTTATACTGATTTGCATTTACAGATGTCATGATCTCATATAGCAGTTCCCAACCAGGACAACCACTATTCCTTATGGTGTACTTGAATAGTTTCCAGGGGGTACAGACTTGCTTTGGTAAACCAAAAACATGACTAACAAAGAACTTTACAAACTTTGCAAAGAATTTACAGAAATACTGGGGATATCAAAATTAACACATAACATTAATTTACTTAATAACATTAATATTGTGAAATATTATTGCAATTAAAAATAACTCAATTTGAATATGTTAAAATAATTTATTCCTGTAATAAGAAAGCTGAATTTACACGCTGTTCTTTTGAAAAACAGTTGTGCTGCTTTTTTTAGGATTCTTTGACAAATAGTTCAAAAGAACGGCATGTATTTGAAATAGAAATCAAACAAATGCTGTAGAATCACATAAAAAAATTCTTTACTGCCACTTTTGATCAATTTAATGCATCCTTGTTGAATAGAAGTATTAATAAATAAATAAAAAAGTCTTACTGACCCCAAACTTTTTGAACGATACAGTGTACACATATGTGGCTGTGCCACGCAGGAAGAGCTAATGGCTGTCAGAATATAAGGAAGCCATTGGGGGTGAGCTGATTTTATGATCATGGGGGCCCAACAGGAGAACAGAGACTCACCAGCAGAGCATCTTCTCATCTGCAATAATCAGAACCAGAGACAACAGCCCCAGAGAGAGAGCTAAACCAACAGGACTGATAAGAGTTTCCAAATAGCAGATGTTTGGAGGATGTTGGTTTTGTGGAAAAGATTTCGTTTTAGCATAATCACCAAACTGCTCTACATGAAGAATTTAAACACAATTGACACACATTATGTTAGCAATTAGCGGTTAGCTAGATTATTCCAACAAAGTGGACTTTGATGAGGATATGTGTCTGTGACCACTCTAAACTTGATAGCATATCTATTCTGAATATTCTAGATTCAGACTTTGTGTTTCTGCAAAGAACTTCAGGCAACACAATACAACTAGAAAAAAAAGAAAGGTATTTAGACTTAAAATGCTGGCTTGTGACAAGTTCTTGTCTGAAGTTTAAAAGAGTTTCAAGGTCTTGTGTAGTTTGAATATATGAGATGTTAAATAAGATACAGTGTTAAAGGGATGTGAGTTAGTTAGGTGCTTTTGAATGGTTTCTAGACAGTTACTAGGGCATTTCTATGTCGTTTCTGGGGTGTTCTGGTGTGTTGTTGCTAGATGTTTGCAAGGGTGTTTTGGTTGGTAGGGCTCGACTAAATGGTTCCTAAGTTTTTTTTTAGATATACAGAGAGAGAGACATTTCTCTCTCTATTATACTACAATATTATATACAGTATATGAAACTATATAAAGCTTCATAATTATTTGAATGAACATTAACTGTTAAGCAAAAAAACCACACAAAAAAACAATGTTTGTTGATATAAAGTTTTGCTGAACTGTATCCTGCTGTCAGATTTCTCATCAAGTTAAGATGCAGACTTTCACCTCTGAAGGCAAGTGTGTCTGCAAAGTGCTGGATTTAAAATAAAGATCTTCATCTGAAAGCCTCAGGCCTGTCGTGCTGCATATCCTCCCAGTCTACTGCTGGCCAAACCGCACACTGTGCCTTGGGCTTTGCGCTGCCTCCCATTTTGCTCTGATACACGAGAGAGGAAGACATGCGGCAGCCACCTACAGTAAAAGCTGCTGACTGAACTCTTATAGTGTGATTACATTCAAGGTGTATCAAATCTTTGTAACAAAGATTTAACAAAACAATGCATTTTAGTGCTCAAAGACAGCTAAAACAAAATAATTACTGATGACATATTATATAGTGGAAATTCTTAAAATGATAGGACCCCTTTAACTAATGGGACATTAGTGAAGAAAATTCAGCTCGCTCCATGGCAAAGGCTCCCCAAGAGATTAAATTCCCAAGTACATGTTTTATCTTGAACAATGCATCATGTATTAAAGAGTGGGCTGCAAGGCATGACATTGTTTAGTTCTTACCACCAGCGGAATGCTAAACATGCACATCACTGTTCAGTCCTTCATTTTATAAATAGTTCATATCCATGACCTTCCCGTGGAAATATGCTGAATGTCATAGTAAAATCATTGTTTGGGATATGCATGCTAGGAGAATGTTGATGTGAGCAGTTTAGCCTAGCTTTGGGTAACAGATAAGGGGAGGCAAGGACATCTAAAATCTTGGGAATTCAAAATTACCAGATATTAGAGTATGTTGTGAATGTGGAGTGATTATTCCTGACCTTGAATTTGGCCTTGCATTAGTACAGAATGAAAATGTGTCCAATGGTGCTTTAAGGATCCAAGAAGAACCCAAATCTGAGGGCTGATGTAAAATGTACAAAAAATAACAATCTACATTCAAAATAGTTGAGTTAAGATTCGATGTGAATGTATGTCTCGTTGTACAGTATATTCAGACAGAGGTGCCAGAACTGCAACTGATAGAATGTGTGCTGTAGCGCGATACTACGATATTTTTCAAAAGCAGATCGTGGAGACATTTTAATCGTACACGATCAAAAATCGAGTTATCGCACACCCCTAATTCAAGGTCAAAAGACCCATTTCTAAATAGAAATAAAGGTCAGTCCATTATAGAATCAACAGCTTGTGTCTTCTGAAGGGGTCACACTCAATTCTCTACAAAGTCAGGCCTTTGATTATTGTCATTACATGTGAGAGATTGGCAGTGGAACTGCATCTGCCAAGGGCACAAGCACAGAGGCAATGCATCACCCACTCCCACTGTCTTTCAGACATGCAGACAGAGACAGTCAGGCATTCCTCAGGGAATCCTATGTGTGTTGTCTGACACAGCCACTAGCTATACTCTGTTCGTTCTGCAGCCAGGCTCAGACAGATAATGGAACCATCCATCCACAAAAACTAGGTTGAACAGAATTTATGCTGAGGATATTTTCGGGAGAAGAATAGGGAGGGCTGTTTGTGGAAGGAAATGAAAAGAAGTCACAGTTCCATAATGCTAGGAATTTAACACGGCATGCAGTGCTTTTGAAAACCACCCAAAAGCAAATCAACTGAATATGAACTCTTCAACTCTAGTTCATTTGAATAACAGGACTAAAAAAATCAGTTCAAAATTAAGTTCAAAAGATGGCTTCTCCGATTGTCATGGCACATTTCAGTTCATCTCATGTCCTTCCTTTAAGAACAAAATACCACTTTTCTCCTGTGCTGCTATGGTTAATGTCTGGTACTGTATGTAGCATGATGTCATAACGAGAAATCACTGTTTTGTCCATGTGCAGTTTCCCCATCGCTTTGGTGCCATCTAGTGGTAAATTAACTATAAAATCTTGTAAAGACAATCATACTATGTGCAGATGATATAATATATTGAGATGAAACAGTATTGTTATGCAAATAATTATACTATAATACAGATATTCTAATGTCTTTTGATTTCTCCTTATATATCTTGTTCCATTTAAAAGTTTAGGGTTGGTAAGATTTTTTTGTTTTTTGAAAGAAGTGTCTTATGCTCACCAAGGCAGGATTTATTTGATCACATGTCCTTCAGAAATCATTCTAATATGCTGATTTGCTGCTCAATGTTGAAAACAGTTTGCTGCTTAATATTTTTGAGAAAATGATACATAGCTGTTTAGTCACAAAGACCAGCAATCATGAATTATATTATGCACAGCATTAGCATTATGTGCTTTTAATAATTCCCAATAAATAATTATGAAATGTGTTTTCAAGCGTCCTAATAAATATAGAAGCATTTACAATAATGTAAAGAATAGAATTATTCATTTTTTGGTATTTGTCTGTCATTTCAAGTGTCAGGGGGCTCTGACAGACTGAATGCTATCAGTGCCAATCAAATGATTCATTTGTATTTATTTTTTTGTGTGTGTGTGTGTGTGTGTGTGTGTGTGTGTGTGTGTCCACAGGCTGTACAGGAGAGAAGGACAGATCGGCTCTCAGCCATGAGGCTTTCCTGCTCATGGCAAACTCCCAGAATGACATGGAGGATTGGGTCAAAGCCATTAGACGTGTCATCTGGGCTCCCTTTGGAGGAGGTAGCTTATTTACCTGGACCTCACACACAAATAAGACCCAAGGCAGCATTCTATCTTACAAGGCAACATAGTCAAGAAAACAATAAAACTAAACTAGCAAGTATATATCTAGTTTTCTCACCTTGTTTGGATAGAGTGAGTGATCTAAATCTGGCACACAGCTTATATCATGCTGCATGGCTGATGTACAGGCACACTAAAATAACAACAGCACTAGCAGAGTCTGAATGACAGTGTCTGAATCTTTAGGTATTGTGTTACAGGTATTTAATAACATAGATTATTTTGGGGTGTCTGGAATAATGGCAAACATTTTAATATAATTTTAATGATATTAAATATTCACCACAGAATATGGTGACCAGACGTTCCCGTATTCCAGGGACAGTCCCGGTTTTTGGTGTCCTGTCCCCGACTGAAGCTGTCCCAGGAAATGTCCCCGTTTTACAGCACATTCAAAAAAGCCCCGCAAATACACTGTAAAAAGCCCAGCCATATAACCTGCTGGTTTCCAGATCAATGTAGTGATTATTTTCACCGACAGAGGGGGCTGCAACCCCCAACCATTAATTGGTCGCGCGTGGCTTTAGAACTTAACCAGGGGCCAGTTGCATAAACATAGACACTGTGCTAAGAGTCTTAAGAACTAGTTTGACCAAATAGCAGTTAGATAAATCAGTCTCACTTTTCTGATTAAAATTGGGCCAATCTACATTGTTGTAACTGACTTCAAACAGTTATGACCAGTCTAGAAGAAAACAAATTAGACGGCTAACTTTTTAAGACTAGTGTAAGCAGTTTATGCAACCGGCCCCTGGACGAGAGCAGAACTTTTGTTATCATCAATTATCAAAAGAGACACCGTTATCAGTTTCAAGGTAGCCATTTACAAACTATTCATGTTAAATCAAAGTAATACTGTTTCTTTGTACAATATAACAGCTTGAAGAGGGTGCTGGATTATTTTGCACAAAATTATAATATTCACAAAAGTTCAGCTGTGGGTGAGCTAGGCAACAATTACACATGCAACAATTACATTTGCAAACAGCACATACTTTGTGCTCAAAATGAGCCTAAAATGTTAAATAATTATCCTAATTAGTGATAGATAAAATACATTTCCAAAAGTACAAACATATACAATTTGAAAAGTTAAAAAGTTATTATTATTATACCGTATATTCATAGAAAAATGTAAATATGTAAAATCATAATTAAAGTCATAAAAAATAAAAGTTTTGATCTGTTTGTTATTTGTAATAGTTACTATTTACTATTTTTCATAGTGTGTGATTTTTGGTGAATTGTACAGCTAGGGTCAATTTGACAAATATAATCATTGTTATTAATTATAATAACAGGAACCCACAACAATTTAAAAATAAAAATATACAAAAATGTATTGTCCCCGTTTTTTTAGTTCATAGATAATAACAAGGGAGATCATATACTGACCACTGAATTAGGAAATGTCCCCGGTTTCCATTTGAGAAATCTGGTCACCTTACCACAGAAAGATTGTTATGTGTCCCAGAAAGAATGCAGTTATTTCTGATACTTTGAAATTCAGACCGATGGCAAAATTTGTGACAGTTCAATAAAAATAAGTTAATATTAAGTAACTTACATTTTAGACGGTTACTTTTTCTATTTTTGCTCGTTAAAGAACTTGTTTCCAAACAAAACCTTAAAGGAACACTCCACTATTTTTGTGACGGAAAATGAAAAATTGCGATTTTCTAGGCCGATATGGCTAGGAACTATACTCGCGTAATAATCAAAGAACTTTGCTGCCGTATGGGTGCAGCAGGCGCAATGATATTACGCAGCGCCTGAAAATAGTCCCCAGCATGCTCCCTGTGCAAGCAGGTGGTCACGTTGGTTATGTTGACGGAAGTTAGCCTATTTTCAGGCGCTGCGTAT